CGATGGCCTCGCAAATGATCCCAAGAAACATTGTAAAATTACCAGGATTGTTCCAAAAAAAGCTCCCACAATTCCCAAAAAACACCAACAACAACAACACCAACCGCAAAAATACCTCCAAATGGTTCCATGAATCCTCGTCCTTGTCCGCGTCGTCCTTATCCTTTTCCTCGCCCTCCACGTCCTCGTCCTCATCCGCGTCCTCGTCCTCCTCGTCCTCCTTGTCCTCCTCCTCCTCCTCCTCTTCCTCCTCCTCCTCTTCCTCGTCCTCCTCCTCCTCCTCCTCCTCCTCTTCTTCCCCTCGCACCCACGCGGCTCCCAAGGATGGTCCGAAGAGGCCATCTAAAAACACCCCCTTGCTCGCTTTAGATCCCTAAATGTGTGTCTGCGTCCTTCTTCCCGTCAGCTCTGAAGGGCAGGGTTTCTGAATGACGCGAAGCGTGACAAAAATTAAAAACCTTGCATTTCCAAATCATCGGCCGCTGGGCCTCCTGGAAAAAATATTAGAACGAACGCCTAAAAACTTAGACAACAAATGCCCAATCTGTCGGCCACGACAAAAAAATCATTGTCGTCCGATAGGGTTGACGTCGTAGGCGTGCAATAATTTCGTTATTGGTCGTCCACCTCGTCGCCGCACCGGGCTCCGTCGAAGAATGCAATCTCTTCGTTGTTGCACAAAGCTCTGTGAGAACGGGCTGCGTGATTTCTCGAGGGTGGAACCGGTGAACATGGCTACGGGAACTGATGTAAAAAGATACAGAAACCGGTGTAAAAAGACACCGGTGAGAGTGAGTACGGAAACCGCTATGAGTGAATAGATATGGAAGCCGCTGCTTCTCAACGTTCCGGGTCTCTGGTTTCCAAGTGTTTTGGGATACGGAAACAGGTGCGGGTGAATACAGAACCCGGCATTGGTGGATCCGGAAACCAATGTGGGTGGATACGGAAACCGTTGAGGGTGGATACAGAAACCGATGTAGATACGGAAACCGGTGGGGGTGGATACGGAAACCAATGGGTAGATACGAAAACCGATGTGGGTGTATACGGAAACGGGTGTGGATGGATACGGAAACTGGTAAAAATTGATACGGCAACTGGTGTGACCGGATACAGAAACCGTTGTTTGAATACCGAAACCATTGTTCGGATACGAAATCCGTTGCCGCTGTGGTCTTGGCCCGACTTCATGTCCTTTTGGCCGTCGTTGGACCGTCTTGGCACCCTAGGGTCCATTTGGTGCCGTCTTGGGCCGTCTTCAAAAGACATCTTGAAGGCTTCGACCAGAACTCGAAACAACGAGAATGCAAACGTCTTTCAAACACAACCTACAGAACACCAGCTTTTCTCGGGTTGTCTAGGAGGCCTCTTGATGGGCAAAGAATTCGGTATCTAAGCAACAGTTTCGGTATCCAAAGAGAGGTTTCGGTATCCACCGACATCGGTTCTGATATCCACTGACGCTGCATGTATATCCACCGACAACTTTAAAGATCCACCCACACTGGTTTCAAAATTTATCCACACCAGTTTCGGAATTCATCCGCACCAATTTCGATCCTGTCCTTTCTACCTTTTCCCTCCTCCCTCCTCCTACCTCCCCCCTCGCCTCCGTTCTCCTCTTTCCTCCGTCCATGATCCTTTTTCCTTCCTCCCTCCGCCTGACTCCCTCTTCCTTCCCATTTCTCCTTCCTCCCTCCTCTCTTTTCCTTCCTCCCTCCTTCCTCCTCCCTCTCCTCCCTCCTCCCTCTTCCTTCCTCCCTTCTCCCTCCTCCGTTCCTCCTCCTCCACCGTCCCTCCTCACCCCTCTTTCCTCCCTCCTCCCTCCTCTTTCCTCTTTCATCCCTCCTCCCTTCCCTGCTCCTTCCTCCTTTATCTCTCCTCCCTCCTTCCTCCGCCCCCTCTCCTCCTTCCTCCTTCTGTCCTTCCTCCCTCCTCCGTCCCTCCTCCTTCTTCCCTCCTCCCTCCTCCCTGCTTCCCCCTCCCTCCTCCTTTCTCCCTCCTCTTTCCTCCTCCCTCCTCCCTCCATCCTCCCTCCTTCCTTTCTTCCTCCCTCTCCCTCCTCCCTCCTCGTTCCTTTTCTCTCCTTCGTCCCTCCTCACTCCTTCCTCCCTCCTCCCTCCTTCCTCTCCCCTTCCTCCTCCTTCCTCCCCTCCTCCCTCCTCCCTCGTCTGCCTTCTGTTCATACATGTTCTTTCCGTCACTGCGTAGTCATCTCCATTCGCCTGTCTTTCCTTTCCCCCGCGCCTTTTGAATAATCCATTTGCGCAAGTGCCTGCAGAGAAACACTTCATTGTCGAAATGCTTGTGAACATTACATACTACAGAAAACTTAATGCAACATTTCTGGTTGACAGCTATGTGTTAGACAACATCCGTTATTAACACATTCACTCACATCATCGACAATATTGTTAGGTTTAATTTTGATGTTTTCTAACCCGCAACACGGATATATATATATATATATATTATATATATATATATATATATATATATATATTTAATTACGGAAACCTACAATACCAATTTTGAAACACAAGCCTAACAACTATTTCACACCACACTTGAGCCCGTCCCGAATTCATTTCTGATGATCTATATGTTCATACCACATTCATGTTTTAAATATTATTACCTGAGCACGGACTACACGCAAAAACATATCTGTAGAGGGCCAGATGCGAACCCTACCCCTACCCCCCACGACTTCTGAGGGGGAGGGTGGGGTTTACTTCGCTGGGGGGCTCCCGAACGAAGTGAACCCCACCACACCCCTTAGGAATCGTGGGGGGTAGAAATCGGGTTCGCATGTGGTCGCCTAATCTGGGAGTGAGAGGCCGGACGGGTGCAAAGCGAAAACCCGCAGGGAACGAAATCGATAAGGGGGAAATATATACGTACACCAAAGGGAAGGCAAGTCAATTAAGTGCGGCGCGCTATTAGGAACAGCACCGCGCGTACCATCATGAATCATACATTTATAAAACAGATTACGAAACCCGCGGACTGGTGAGCGCGCCGATGAAGGTACAATATTGCGGGTCAGATTTTTTGATGTTGACATGGTATGCATTGGCCATATGATCATTGGCGTTGCGAAGAGGCAACCTCTTTTTTGCGATGTGAGCTTTGTGTTCCCGCTTGTAAAGGATAGTGTACAAAGATCTGGGGCGCGCAATTACGGATGTGGCTTGGTACAAGGCCAAGACTCTGGGGCCGTCTAGGCGATAGCTTCACACGTCTGTGCAAACACAAATAACCTGGACGCCGAAGGCGCAGATTAAAGGGTAGAAAACGGAATCGGAAAAACGACACATCACCAGAAAACCGTAGACGGCGATGCCGTTGGCGCAGGTGTCCAGACCCCAGTTGCGAAGGCGGAGGTGACGCCCAGTACTGCGCCAACGGTGTGTAGAATGGAATCATGCCTGTAATTGTGGGCCCTGGGCTTGGAGGAACACGGCGAGGCTGGTGCTAACGAAGACGACTGTTCTCGTGTGAAGGCTGGCATTGGAGGAATGGCAAAGCAGACGGCAAATGGGGACGCCTCTAGCACGAGGTCTGCAGCCTTGAGCCTGCATGGAAGGCCTGGCGTGGTCCTCGGGCAGGAACTCGCTGCAGAAAAAATCTCGACTTCCCTGGCCGACAATGGGTCTACTTCCGGGCAGTCGTGGGATGCCGCCACCCCAGTTGCACCTGAGAGCGAGTGTGCCAGTGCCCAAACCCCTCTCCTGCGCCACACACCTTGGCAGATGAGGCCACTGTGGCACGCTAGAGCCGCCCGAAAACTTCGGTCTCCGACGACGATGGTGAGGAACGCAGCGCGCCCTCGGGGGACGTCAACTGATCACTTATTCACCAGCTTGCTGACTCTCGCTGGTTTGACTTCTCCCGACTCGGCAGCCGATCTCCGCCGATACGATTCATTCTGAGCGCCGACCCGACTCATCGACTCGATTCTAGGCTCTCGTGTCCTGGGCCCTACACGGGACGGGCCTGGCCAGGATCGGTGAAGGACTCGATTGAAGAAACTGGAGCCCGAATCGGAATCCGAAGTCGAATCGAAGCGGAAGTGGAAGTCACCGACACCGAATCCGATGGGATCGGAGGAATCGAAACGAGCTCTGCAGGATCGGTGCGAAGGCTGCCCTGACCAACCCAGGAGGGCGCACGCGCCGATCCTGGGCTAAGGATGGGACTGGCCAAGCTCGGCGAGGTGGTCCGCAGACGTCCCCCGATCGACACCCCTCGTTCGAGCAGCGGATCGACTACAGAATTGATGTGCCCCACGCTTGACTTTTCCGTCGAATCCACGATCAATCCGCCGATCCGGCGTGTGAGTTTTGAAAAAGGCTATTACAGCCTGAGCTTCAGCTCTGCTGAGGGGGCCGGGGTGGCTCTGCCGGGAAGGGGGGAGGGGGGGGAGGTATTTCAATGCCTTTCCTGGGCCGGAGTTGGGGCCAAAGCCGGGGCTGGGGCTTGGGCTGCAGGGGCCAGGGCATGGATGGGCTGTGGCAGGGGCCGGGACCAGGGCCGGGGCAAGGGAGAGGAGGAGGAGGAGGAGGAGGAGGAGGAGGAGGAGGAGGAGGAGGAGGAGGATACGATACGCACACCCTTAACGCCATGTTGTCTGGTAGTCCAGTGAGTACTGTACTCACACAGTGTCAAAATCGCGCAGCAGTGGGCCCTGAGAACATTCAAGACTGACTGGAGGCATCGTGGCGCGGTGAACCTTCCCTTTGGAGTGAGTGCCGATGCCGAAGCTCTACGCACCAGGGCCGCAGACAAGGCCCCGCACGGGGCCGTCCTGGCCCCTGCAGCCACCGACGCATGAGGTAGCCACAGGGGATTGTGGTGACTCTAGATTCAGGGTTGACCGCTTGCTTTCTTAGCAATGTCAAGAATGTTTTTACTGCTAGCGAAAACAGAAAACTTCTGAGACCCTGGGTAGATCCCTCGAGAGGCCAAATATTCAGTTACTATCTGCTTTTCAGTGCGAGGAGGAGGAGGGGGAGGCTGATGACTCACAGGAGTGGGCGGGGGCACAGGCGCGGGCCTACTAGAACTCGAAGCTGAGCTGGCCCCCGTTGGTCTCGATGGAGTATCTCGTACCAAATCGCATATATCGGGTATTTCCAAAATGATGTCCGAGTGGTCGTGAGAATCAATCGTCAAAATGCTCGACCATGCCGAGCTCAAACCAATCTCAGGTAAATTGAGAGCCGCTCGCACTTGATGATTCACTTCAGTAGGGCCTCCAGGAAGGTCTGGATCTCCCGCTCCATGAACGATGCTGGGGCTCTGCCGTACTTGCGTGTCGTCTGTGGCACTTGGGAGAGGCAGGCCAGGAGAATGCTGCGGAACTTCGCGTCCCTGGTGGCGAAGGTGATCCTGCGACGTTCCTTCTGGAAGACCTTGTCCTGGCGGCAGAATAGAATTAGCTCGCACTTCTGCTCGACTGAGTACCCGTCGTGCTCCTTCCATGCTGTCGCGAGGTCGGTGTGGTTCTGGGCTCCGAGGCTGTCCCCGTGCGTCATGAGTCCCTTGATGAGCCCGCCCATCGCATATATATGCGGAGGTCCGAGGGTGTGCTCTTTGCCCTTTGACTTGGTCTCGGCGGCGTAGGCCACGGTCTGTTCGCTCATCATCGTAATGAATGCGACCGTCATCGGGACGATGAGAGTGTCGAAGATGACCCCTGACATGTCGCGGCACTGCTGGCTGAGCCTGAGGATCTGCTTCAGCATGAGTGCGAAGAGCTTCTTCTGCTTGTCGGGGATCTGCTCGGCGATCTGCTTGGACTCTTCTTTCGTGCCGCCCTCGATGCGACCCTTCTTCCTCTCGTCGCGAAGGCCCTGGCCCCCGTCTCCGCCCGAGCCCGCCGCTGATCCAGTCAGTGCCGCCAGAACGCCAGGCATGGTAAAATAGTGTCGGAAGAGGTCTGGGTAGATGCTCGTCTTGCAGGTGGCGAAAGTAGTCGATGCTCGATGGAAACACTACGGAACTCGGGCATAGAGGACAGTTCCATTCGTCTTTCTGCTCGGGTTCCCAAGACATGTGAGCTCTTCCCATTAGACATCGGCCATAGCCATAATGTTTCAGATGTTTGCGAGCATTGTGTACATCTCTGAATATACTCATACAATTTGGGCACTGTTTCGTAATGACTCCACTATGAAGTATATATTTCATCTTATGTCCATTTGTTTGGTGTCCCATGAGAGTCCTGTAGGTGTCGAACTGGAGGCCACATGGGTTTCCCTCGGGGTCCGTGATCATGCATGTGTATACGTGTTCGCTTTTGGCTTCGGGGTTATGTACTTCGGGGAATAGAGTACACCATTTGTCGTAATCCGTGAACGCTGCTGCTCTCAAGATCGAGGGGTCGATATTCAGAAACTCCTGGAACGAGTCAGAGTTGGGTTCGAATAGGGCCTTCCACGAAAACCCAGCCGCCTCCCAAGCCTCGAAGAAACTCTCGGTCCCACTGATCCCCTCGTAAAGGTACAGGCTGCGATGAAACTTTTTTGCCCAGGGATTCGCGTCGATGCTGAGCTGTCCGTCTGGCGACAGCGTCGGTCTCTCCTTCTGTAAATGACCGAAGATCGCCGCAATCGTTTGGCTGTGGGCGTGACGGTGGGTGAGCATGCCTTGAAGCCGCCGAATCCTGCGCACCGCCAGTTCCCCCCGAGCAGGGAGGATGCGAAATCTGTAGAGCACCTCTGAATTCCGAAGTGTGCGAACGTGTGGCCCATCGTAGGAAGTGGCAGCACCCCGCAATAGAACTCTGAGGTATCTTACAGTACAGGAATCTATCTTCTGATACTCTGCTGGCTTAAGGACAAATGCTTCAAGACCCGTGGTGCCACTTTCCACGACTTTGCCAAGAAAGAGCTCGCGCTTAAGTCGATGCAAACCACGCTCGTGCCAAAATAGACCTATGACAGACCAGCCCGCGTGCATAGAGCGGATTCTGCACTGTACCTCTGGAGCATTAGAGCCATTCATATGATGTCGAGCTCCCAGATGCCTAGCGTGACTGCGAACAGTGCCACACGACTCAGGGCAAATCTCCTGAAGGCGACGGTTTTCTCGTGTGGATCCCAGGCAGGGTATGATGTCTTTCTTTTGCATATTCTGCTGAAAGCGCCATTTTCCCAGGACCTGGTTCATCTTCGAGTCGCCTTCTCGGATTGCCTCTAGAGCCTCAGACGCCGAGGGATCTTCTAGAATGCGTCGCCGGAATAAATCATCTGCAAAACCTACCATTGAACAGTCTAAAGCCGAGTTGCCAAAAACTCCTGAAAGATATATGGGGGTCCCGTCGATCTCGATGATTTCGTCATAGCACTGGTCGAAGACGCCGACGAATTGTCGAGGTGCCTCACATGACCCTTGGAACCCCCCATTCTTAGTGATAAATGCTTCGGGCTTGTTATCTACTTCAATTAAAACCACACTGTTGATCAGGCGCTGCTTCGCGAAGTCCTGTAGGTCCTCGCGCACCATTACTTCGGAGGTATGGGTTAAAAGATCCTCCGTGGAGGAGGAGGAGGAGGAGGACGAGGAGGAGGAGGAGGAGGAGGAGGAGGAGGAGCAGGGGCTGGGCTGCAGGCCAGGCAGGGCTGGGCTCGGGGCCGGGGCTGGGGCCAGGGCCCTGGGGCTCCCAAGCCCAACGAACTGCAAGCCAATCCGTCCAGGAACTAGCCTGCCATCAAGCTCGACAGGCGGACACGACGCAAACATTCCATTCAACACAGACTGCCCGAGGCGACTGCCAACACCCTCGTTCCCATCTGCCTCCTCCCTCCTCATCCTCCCTCCTGCCTCCCCGCAGTGTCCACCAACTATTGAACAGGTCGAGTTCACACGGGGCGTTCCGGAGCGTACTGGATCGGCGGCACAGGCCAGAGGCCTCTACAATACGTAGAATGCGACGTGGATCTACGGAGCACTCCTCGCATTGTTATAGATTCGACGGGCAACTTTTGGGTAAACCACACCCTTCGTGGAGGTCGGGCTGGGGGTGGCCGGGGCTTGCTGAAGGTGTCCCTGGCCCACGGTGTCCCTACGCTGCCCCGAAACAGTACGTCTGCCGCCTCGGGTCTTTCGTCAATCGATTGTGGTCTCCGCGGGTCGTTTTCGGGCCCTGGGACTGTCACAAACGGTCCTGCGATGAAAACCCCGCGCTCGCGCCCCCGGACAGCGAGGGCCAGCGCGCACCAAGCTCGAAGCGCAATGCGGTCGTTCGCGGCTGGCGCAGGAAAAGTGGGCGGGCCTCATGGGCAGCGTGTGTACCCATGAGGTAAGGACCCCGAGCCATGTTCCTCTCGCGAAGCGGGCCCCTGGCCAACGAGGCTGGGGGTGGGGGGGCACTGCCTTCCTGCTCGTTTCTGTGCTCGTTCTTTTCGTGCAGCCCTCGCTTTTGCAGTAGCTTTCCCTTCAATTTCAGCTCTAGATAACACTTGATCTATACCACAACGGCACGCAACGGGGTACCGCGGGTAACTATACGGCGGACGTCGTAGGACACAAAGGGACAACAGATTTGGCTTTCTCCCAACCCTCCTTGGTTGGGTATTCGGTTTGAACAGAGGGGTGTGGTCGCGTCCTCCTCCTGCCCCCCCCTGTGGTCGCCGTCCCTGGGGGGCTGCTGGTGGGTCCTGCGGAGTGAGGCGCCGCGCGGATCTGAGGTAGAACTCGCGGTCCCTGGGGGGCTGCGATCTGCGAAACTGTCGCCACTTTCGAAGGCTGCTGGTGGGTCCTGCAAGGTGAGGCACCGCGCGGACTTGAGCGGGACCTCGCCGTCCCTGAGGGGCTGCGATCTGCGAAATTGTCGCCACTTTCGAAGGCTGCTGGTGGGTCCAGCGGAGTGAGGCACCGCGCAAATCTGAGCGGGACCTCGCCGTCCCTGGGGGGCTGCGATCTGCGGAACTGTCGCCACTTTCGAGAGCTGCTGGTGGGTCCTGCGGAGTGAGGCACCGCGCAGATCTGAGCGAGACATCGCCGTCCCTGGGCGGCTGCGATCTGTGCAACTGTCGCCACTTTCGAGGGCTGCTGGTGGGTCCTGCGGAGTTAGGCACCGCGCAGATCTGAGCGGGACCTCGCCGTCCCTGGGGGGTTGCGATCTGCGAAACCGTCGCCACTTTCGAAGGATGCTGGTGGGTCCTGCAAGGTGAGGCACCGCGCGGATCTGAGGTAGACCTCGCCGCCCCTGGGGGGCTGCGATCTGTGCAACTGTCGCCACTTTCGAGGGCTGCTGGTGGGTCCTGCGGAATGGGGCACCGCTGGTGGGTCCTGCGAAGCTGTCGCCACTTTCGAGGGCTGCTGGTGGGTCCTGCGGAGTAAAGTGCTGGTGGGTCCAGCGGAGTAAAGCACCGCGCAGATCTGAGCGAGACCTCGCCGTGCCTGGGGGGCTGCGATCTGCGACACTGTCGCCACTTTCGAGGGCTGCTGGTGGGTCCAGCGGAGTGAGGCACCGCGCGGATCTGAGTGGAACCTCGCCGTCCTTGGGTGGCTGCGATCTGCTAAACCGTCGCCACTTTCGAAAGCTGGTGGCGGGTTCAGCGGAGCGAGGCACCGCGCAGATCTGAGGTGGACCTCGCCGTCCCTGGGGGGCTGCGATCTGCGAAACTGTCGCCACTTTCGAGGGCTGCTGGTGGGTCCTGCGGAGTGAGGCACCGCGCGGACCTGAGGTAGACCTCGCCGTCCCTGGGGGGCTGCGATCTGTCAAACTGTCGCCACTTTCGAGGGCTGCTGGTGGGTCCAGCGGAGTGAGGCACCGCGCAGATCTGAGCGGGACCTCGCCGTGGGGCTGCGATCTGCGCAACTGTCGCCACTTTCGAGGGCTGCTGGTGGGTCCAGCGGAGTGAGGCACCGCGCGGACCTGAGGTAGACCTCGCCGTCCCTGGGGGGCTGCGATCTGCGAAGCTGTCGCCACTTTCGAGGGTCGCTGGTGGGCCCCGCGGAGCGAGGCACCGCGCGGATCTGAGCGAGACCTCGCCGTCCCTGGGCGGCTGCGATCTGTGAAACTGTCGCCACTTTCGAGGGCTGCAAGTGGGTCCAGCGGAGTGAGGCACTGCGCAGATCTGAGCGGGATCTCGCCGTCCCTGGGGGGTTGCGATCTGCGAAACCGTCGCCACTTTCGAAGGATGCTGGTGGGTCCTGCAAGGTGAGGCACCGCGCGGATCTGAGCGGGACATCGCCGCCCCTGGGGGGCTGCGATCTGCGAAATTGTCGCCACTTTCGAGGGCTGCTGGTGGGTCCAGCGGAGTGAGGCACCGCGCAGATCTGAGCGGGACCTCGCCGTCCTTGGGGGGCTGCGATCTGCGAAACTGTCGCCACTTTCGAGGGCTGCTCGTTTGGCCAGCATAGCGATCTCCGAAGCTGTCGCCACTTTCGAAGGCTGCTCGCGGGTCCAGCGGAGTGAGGCACTGCGCAGATCTGAGCGGGACCTCGCCGTCCCTGGGGGGCTGCGATCTGCGAAATGGTCGCCACTTTCGAGGGCTGCTGGTGGGTCCAGCGGAGTGAGGCACCGCGCAGATCTGAGCGGGAACTTGCCGTCCCTGAGGGGCTGCGATCTGCGAAACTGTCGCCACTTTCGAGGGCTGCTGGTGGGTCCTGCGGAGTTAGGCGCCGCGCAGATCTGAGCGAGACCTCGCCGTCCCTGGGGGGTTGCGATCTGCGAAACCGTCGCCACTTTCGAGGGCTGCTGGTGGGTCCAGCGGAGTGAGGCACTGCGCAGATCTGAGCGGGACCTCGCCGTCCTTGGGGGGCTGCGATCTGCGAAACCGAAGCAACTTTCGAAGGCTGGTGGCGGGTTCAGCGGAGCGAGGCACCAGGCAGATCTGAGCGAGACATCGCAATCCTTGGGGGGCTGCGAGCCTCACGAATGCCGCTCGCAGAAGTATATGCACCCATGTCACGTCATCACCTCCGTATAACGTCTCCCAAGCTACTCATGCCCCGCATTGCGCAAAAATTGGGTACGT